CCCTGCTCTGTCCTACAGGGGCTTTATGAGTTTGAACCAACTTGATGGCAATGGGCTTCTTTGGTCGGGTTTGCAATCACTTACAGTCCAAGGTTTGATGTGAGTAAATTGGTTTACTCATTCCCTGTTGTTACTGTTAGGTGTCATTAAGCCGGCTCCCACTCAGAGTGACCCCATGCACAGACAAGGGAACCCTGGCCAATCCTGCACCTCCTTCACAACCGTGGCTCTGCTGGCGTCCACTGCTGCTGCCATGGTGTCAATCTCATTGGCGGTCTTCCTCTTTTTCACCAAACTTCTGACTTTTCCATGCATAATGTCCTCCAGGGACTGGTTCTTCCTGATAATATGCCCAAACTATGAAGTTTGAAGTATGAAGTATTCTTGCCTTGGTACTTCTAATATTTTTCTCCAACACCATAACTCAAATCCATCAGCTCGTCTATAGTCTTTCCTATTTGCATCTAACTTTCACATGCATATAAGGCAACTGAAAATACGAAGGCTTGGGTCAGAAAAATCTTAGTGCTCACACTAGTATCTTTGCCCTTAAAACCTGTTCTGGTGTGAGTCTTGGTATGAGTTCTGGTGAGTCCTGGTGTGGTGCTGTGGGGTAATACACCAGACTGCATAGCCATTCAAACTGCAAGGTTGGCAGTTCAAGCTCACCAGCTACTCCTAAGAAACCCTATACAGGGTCGATATGGGTTGGATCCGACTCAATGCCATTTAACAATAACAAAACTTGTTCAGCTGATTTGCCTACTTCAATACATCATTCGAGTTCTTGATACTGCTTCCATGGGTGTTGACTATGGATCCAAACAAAATCAAGTCTTTGACAACTTCAGTGTTTTCTCCATTTATCATGGTGTTATTTACTGGTCCACTTGTGAGGATTTTGTTTTTTTTTTAACACTGAGTTACAATCCAAACTAAAGGCTGTGGTCTTTGATCTTCATCAGGACAGGATTTTAAGTCTTCTTTGCTATCAGCAAACAAGGTTGTTAATGAGACTTCCTCCAATCCTGATGCCACACTCTTCTTCATAAAATCCAGTCTCAAGATTATTTGCTCAGCATACAGATTGAATAAGTATGGTGCACACCTTTTCTGAGTTTAAACCCTTCAGTATCCCCTTGCTCTGGTCCAATGGCTGAATCTTAGTCTATGTACAGGTTCCTCATACACACAATGAAGTGGTCTGGAACAGCCATTCTTTACAATGTTTTCCAGAGTTTGTCATGATCTCAACAGTCAAAAGCCTTTCAATAGTCAATAGAACACGAGTAAACATCTTTCTGATATTCTCTGCATTCGGCAAAGATCCATCTGATTTCATCAATGATATCCCTAGTTCTAGGTTCTCTTTTGAATCCAGCTTGAGTTTTTAGCAGTTACCTGTCAATGCACTGTTGTAGCCATTTTTATATGATCTTTAGCAAAATTTTACTTGAATGTGATAGTAATCATGTTTAATTATTTTTTAATTTCATTGGTCCATCTTTCTTTGGAATGGACACAAATATAGATCTCTTCCAAAAGCTGCCTCCAGTGCTCTATCAGTTTATTGAAAGATTTCAACTTTTGTTCTGTCAATTCCTAGACCTTGTGTTTTTGCCACTAACCTTCAGTGTAAATTGGGACTTCTTGTTTTATTTAGTACTATCAGTTCTTGATCATATGCTGCCTCTTGAAATGCAGGAACATCGACCATTTCTTTTTGATACTGTGACTCTGTGTATACCTCCCATCTTCTATTGATGCTTTCTATATTGTTCAATATTTTGTCCATGTTATTAAATGCTGTGGTGTCGGTTCTGACTCATAGCGACCCTGTATCGGGTTTCTAAGAAGCACCTAGTGAGTTTGAGCCGCTGACGCTGCAGTTCAAACCAACCTTGCGTAAAAGTGCTTACCTACAGCACCACACCAAGACAACCCACAGAACCCTCTAACACTGGAAGGCAAGGCTTGAAGTTCTATTCCACTGCTTTCAACTTAAGAAATGCTGAGCATGTTCTTTCTTTCCTTTTGGATTTCTAGCTCCAGGTCTTTGCACATTTCATTAGAATACTTGACTTTGTTTTCTTGAGCTGCCCTTGGAAATTTTCTGTTCAGCTATTTTATTTCCTCATTTTCCCCATTTGCTTTAGCATGTCTACACTGCAGAGCAACTTTCCGAGTCTTTTCTGACATCCATTTTGGTCTTTTCTTTCTTTCTTATTAAGGACTTTTGGCTTTCTGTCTATACTGTCTTCTTGATGTCACTCCACAACTCTTCTGGTCTTTGGTTATTAGTGTCTAATTCATAGAGTCGGTTCTTGAGATGATCTCTAAATTCAGGTAGGATATGTACAAAGTCAAATTTTGGTTCTCACTGACCTGTTCTAATTTTCTTCAGCTTCACCCTGAACTTGCATATGAGCAATTGATGGTCTGTTCCGCAGTCGGTGTCTGGCCTTATTTTTTGGCTGATGACATTGAGCTTTTCCACCAACTCTTTCCACAGACACAGTCAATTTGATCATTTGATTCCTTTGTATTCTATCTGACAAGGTCCAAGTGCCTTTCATGTTGTTTAAAACCGGTATTTGCAACGAAGAACTCATTAGTCTTGCAAAATTCTATCATGCAGTCTCCAGCATAGTTTCCAACTAGAGATCCTTCTTTTTTGTTTCCAGCCTATGCATTCTTACCACCAGGAGTCTGTACTTCAAAGACAGTCCTTGAAATGCTCCTTGTGATGATTAGTGCTACACCATTCCTTTTGAATTTATTGTCCTCAGCATGGTCACCGTATTATTATCAGATTCAAAATGACCAACACTCATCTATTTCAGCTCATAATGCCTACGATATCTATCTTTACTTGTTCCATTTCATTTTTGATAGCTTTCGATTTTCCTAGTTTTATACTTGGTACATTCCAAGTTTCAATTATTAATGAATGTTTGCAGCTGTTTCTCAATTTGAGTTGTGCCCCATTAGCAAGTGAAGGTCCCAATAGCTTTACTCCATTCACATCATCATGGTGACTCTACTTTGAGGAGGCAGCTTTTCCCCAGTTGCACCTGAAGTGCCTTCCAATCTGAGGGGCTCAACTTCTGCTATTTACCAGTTTATCATTGGCTAAACAGTCCGAATTTGGCTGCCTCTCTGTCTTCCTAGTCTGTCTTAGTCTGCAAACTCAGCTGAAACCTGCCCGCAAGGGTGACCCTGCTGGTTGAGAAAATACAGGTGGTACAGCTTCAAGCATCACAGCCACACGCTAGCCACCACTGTACAACAAAAGGACAGAGCAATGCTAGGACTGCTTATTTAACTGCAACCGTGTAAATCAGATAGCTCAGCCTGCACAAGTGTGTGGCCTGGGGCCCAACACTCCCGTCACCTGGTGATGTCCTCAGCAGTCCAGGACTTGCTGCACTGATCATAAGGCCACCTTAAGGGAGCATTCAATAGACGGCTGATCAAAGTGGATTTATCACTTTCTATCTAAATGTCTTGTTGCTAAGTATCAGCGAGTCAGTTCTGACTCAGAGTGACCCTGTACAGTTTCCAAGGAGTGGTTGGTGAGTTTGAGGCACCGACCTTGTGGTTCTAGTCGACCGTGTGGTCCAGCACTTGATCCCACAGTGCCACTGCTTAGTATACAGCATGTTTCAGAAACAGGAATTGTTCTGTTTGCAAATGTTCTTAATAAATACTGTATTTGCAAGCAAATCTTTGAATTCACTTCTTAATGTGTGGGACCAGAGAAATCTATTTCTTCTATCAACATATGGAAGAGTTTTAGAACTGTGGCCTTTCTTTCTCCAGGATGACTACGTTCCTGTCATGCTCACTTTATCCCCAGGGCCCAGGAGGCAGTCAACAGAAACCCACATTCTTCTTAGGGACTGAGGGGTAATGACCCTGACCCCTGGAAAATGAATCAAGACCACCTACTCATTTAACACAGCGAAGGGCTTTGTGTCATGTGGAAACAATTATCTATCATCATAAATCTGGGTTGGCTTCATGTCTAGAGGCAAGTTCCTTCTTTCTGATGATCAATTCCACAAGTCAAACAGCTCCATTTATTAATAGAGAATCCTATTAAATGTATGTTTTCCGAATTCCTAATACTTACAGCAAAAACTCCAATCCAACCACCATTCAACAAAATGGAAAAGAATTCTTTTCCAATAAAGTTAACATCCCAAGCCCACATGTCTCAATTTACTGACTTTGTCTCTAAAGTGGCAGTTTGCAATTTTTCAGCAAATTTCCATTTTGTTTTATTCAATGGGAATTCTGATATGCCTTTATCTCTCGTTGGTTGTTAAAGCTACTACCACTTAATAAATCCTCTACGGCATCTGAGTTCTCATTAAAACCTCGGTGGAAAATTCACATGGCTGCTCGAGTGATGGATAACACAATATTGCATATTGTCACTTTGCTCTTGGTTTAATGTCTAGAAAATGCTCTAACGTTAAGATCACCATATTCTCTACACAGAACCCTTAAGCCTTGGGTAAACTGTGGAGTATCCTTTGCTCTCCTGACACCAGGTAATCCACAGCGTTGTCAAGCATGTCAGATGAACTGTGAATCACTGCCTTCTGCAGAAACTGCTTAACCCCCGGCGTAGTGCTCCCGGCAGACAGCTGCACAGCTAACTCTGCCCCCTCCGCTAGCTTCTTTCCAAAGAAGGGCTTATAAATCATCTTTAAGATAATCTAAGGGCCTGAGTGAAGGCTTTAATCAAGATGAAAAGAAAAAGAAAAATTTGTCAAAAACAAATTGGTTGTCTTTCAAGTAGACACCTTTTGAGCAGTTTCCCCACCCCCACCACCAAGACTTTCTTTTCTCAAACAGCTAGTGGGGCTGTCTTCATCTAAACAATGTGGAATTGCTGAAGAATGTTGGTTTTGCATTGTTAATATTCTTGAGTTTTCCTCCTGCCCCCCTCCCCCGCCCCATTTTTCCCAGTATAATAGAATCCTCTGCACCTGCAAAAGCTCCACAGACTGCTGACTGCCAAGAATCCACCGCATGCTCCTGCCTCCAGCACCATAGTACCTGTGTTGGAAGAGAAAGAAAAATACAAGTTATTAAATATTGGAGTTTATCGGAACCTCCTGTGTGTTAGCTCTGGGGATGGGAACTTGAAGTGAGATGCTATTTTGGTGACATTCTTCAGTGATGACAAAATTAACTTTCCCAAGGACTTCACTGCATTCTAAGTGACAGAAGTGAGGGACACAATTTTCAAGGAACATGTATGATACACACAGATACACTTACATCTGTGTCTACATGGACAGATAAAAATAAAAGATGTCCGTACCTTAAGAAAATACAACACTAGGTATCTCTCAGGTAAATCTATAAACACCTAATTTACAAATTAGTCCACAACAGTGTGCAAAATTATTCCTAAATCGTACAATATTTATGTGTTTTTTATGTTACTTATCAATTTAAACTTTCCTTTTATGCTTTTCATGTAACAGGCTCTGCATTATACAAACACCAATGCCAAGTTTCAAACAGAGCAATGTGATCGCAGACATTTGCCTTGCTCCCGGTGTTTAGTAGGAAACAAGATAGAATCACATAAAATGGTGAATAATGCGATGATCTAATCTCTTCACATATATTAAAACCCACAATCCTCAAGCATTACATACTGTTCTTATCTATTCAGGGTCGCTATGAGTTGGAACCGACTTGATGGTACTTAACATCAACAACAACAATCCTTCGAGTATAAATAGATATGATTGAATTAGTATTAAATGATAAGGACTCTTAGACAAGTTTATCAAAGACTTACTCTCAAGTATTGTTGTATTTTATAATAAATTGCTCAATATAATAAATTGCTCATTTCTCAGGCTACCTAGCAGCAAGAGACTGCACTTGTTTTTTTTTTTGAAATAATATTTTATTGTGTTTTCTGTGAAGATTTACATAGCAGTTTTGATTCTCATTCAACAAATTTTACAATGCTATTTGGTTCCATTCTTTATAATGTGTAAACAATCTCATTATTTCCATTCTGGCTGTTCGGTTTCCATTCATCAAGCTTGTCTACCTCCTTATGTTCTCGTATTTGTTTTAAAGTTAATTGTTGAGCACTTAGTTTCATGTGGGTGCTTTTGAAAAGGAGCACAGTATTTACAAGTGACACACACTATTTTTTAGCTGATCTGCTATTTGGCTACACGTTGATCTCAGGGGCTAGTTTTGGTTCAAGGCTGCATTTTTTTTTCCCCAATAGCTTTTTTATCATGAATTGACTGAAGGTGTGCATACAAGATCTCCAGTTTTACATTCAACAAATCATACTCTGTTTCATCTCAATGACTGCAATCCCCTCCATGAAACCATAGTCATCCTGTTTCCTCCCTGTGGGGTTGCATTTTTTATTTTAACAGCTGTACTGAGGGATAACTGACATCCAATAAAGTACATATATTTAGATATTTAGAGTATGCAATTTGATACATTCTGACATATACACAACATATACATACACGCCCATGAAACCACTGCTTGAATTAAAATAATTTATATCATTTTTTTAAATTGTTGAGTAATAATCCACTGCACAGATGCATATACCACAATGTGTTTATACTTTCAATTATTAATAAGCCTCTTGGTTGTTTCCAAGTTAGAGCTATCACAAATAAACATGCTATGAATTTTTGTATATAAGTGTTTATATGAACACACATGTTCATTTCTTTTGAGTAAATACAAGAAGGCTTCAAAAAGTTCATGAAAATATGAAATGAAATTGAAAGTTAGTGGAATTTTTCCATCAACTTTTTGAAGTCCCCTAATATCTGGACAATGAACAAGGAAGACTTTAGAAGAATTGATGCACTTGAGCTACGGTTAGGAGGAGAATATTACAGGTACCATGGACCGCTAGAAGAACAAACAAATCTGTGTTGGAAGAAGTACAGCCAGAATGCTCCTTGGAAGCCAGGATGGCCAGACTTCGTCTCTCACATTTTGGACAGATTATCAGAAGGGACCAGTCCCTGGAGAACACATGATGCTTGGGAAAGTGGATGGATGGTCAGGGACAAAGAGGAAGACCACCAACAAGATGGACTGGCACAGTGGCAGCCGAAATGGGCTCAACTTTAGCAACCAT